TTATTGATATAAGAGTTTATGCTGTTTAAATTGCTACCAAACATTAATATGAAAATTCTGTCAGACAAGCTAACAGTCTTCCATTGCTCGTAGGATTTCTTCTCCTTTCACTTTCTCCGATATAACAAGAAGAACAGTCCATGATAAAGACCTCACAGCAGCTTCCTTTCAAATACCCAAACTATCCTAATAAGTGATCCACTTCTTCTAAGATTCAAACCTTTTTTCCATGGAAGAACATTGTATGGATTTTTACAGTGTATGACCATCAACACTTTACTGCATTCACAAACATGGCAGCTGAGTTCATCTAACAGGACTGAATTTCAATCTGAGGCTGCACTGACTGTCTCTTTGGGCAGAGTATCTTTGAGAAAGCTCTACGGAAGCTGCTGTGGCACAAAGGGTACAGGAAGGGGTTAATGGCCGAGTTCAGCCACAGGAGCCAGAAAGTGATCTCGTACCAGTAGTGTGCCACGCATTCGCCGCCACAGGCAGCCCGGATGATCATAAGCAGTGTGTACGGAGCCCAACATATTCCAAAAATGCAGACGATAATAGCCAACGATTTGGCAATCTTTTTGTCCCGGGAAAGGCGGGATCCAGGAGTCCTCCGGCCGGGCGCTATGCAGGAAGCCGTGGGCTGAAACAGCCTGGAGTTTTTTCTGTGCGGAGAGAATTTCTCCCTCTGCACAAAAATCTGACTGGTGTCAGGGCAGCCGCTGGAGGACGGGGACAGGATGTCGTCGTCCTCTATGACCGCTGAGATAGCGGCGGGCTCGCTGGAAGTCACCTTCCGAGTCTTTACGAAAAACACAGACCAGCCCCCTCCACCGTCCCTGTGGTTCCTATGTCTCCTCTGTGGTTTGCCCTCCTCCTCAGCACCAGCGTTCCCACTCTTGTTCCTCCTATGGATGTTAAGGTAGATGCTGAGGTTGAAGAAAGCCACCGACACGAACGGCGTGAAGAACTCAAAGGTGGAAGCGCTCAGCAGGAAGTACCAGGTGAAATAAAACTCTGCGTAGCACTCGTGGGCCGGGACTATGCTCTGGCCGACGATCGCCTCCCAGAAGATGATCGCTGGGCCATAGAGGAGGAAAGCTAGAACCCAGACGGCCACCATCTTCAGCACTGCCTGGCGAGTGATATTCCTCTGAGCTCTGTATTTAACCTGCAAGAAAAAGAGAGACAAGAGCGTGACTCAGAGTGGTGCTCTCTGAACATAAACGCTGCATCATAATACATCTGTTTATGACCAACCAACAGGCACAGCTGCAAACAGCCTGAATAAAACCCACTGGCTTCTTCTTCAGATGAAGCCCTTATTGTGTTCTGTCACAGCAGCGGGAAGATGCTGTAAATAAAACCCACTCATGACGCACTCACTCCACGGTGTGTCACTGAAGCCAAAGAGAGCAGGGGAATGTTGGGCTGAGAGCCACATTCACTGCTGCAACATGGCTTTGAAAAAGACATCTGGTTTCCCCTGGCTCATTCTCTGTGCGCTCGCTGCATTTAACTTCACCTCCTCTCACTTTGCACTGTCATTTAGAAGGGTTTCTCTATTAGCCGCTCTTCAGCTATTAGCTCTGCTTTTGTTTTCCTTTTATTTCTTTTATAAATCAAAGCTGCCTCTGCACATTGCAGCAGCTGGGTATGTTGCCGCTGCGATGCTGATGATGTGGCTAAAGACCAAGTTGCGAAAATGAAAAGAGTGATAATGACACGGCGCCTCTTTGTGACGGCTCCCTAACTGGAACTGGCCTCAATCTCGACTCTTCACTACAAAAGCAAAGACACTTCAGCCCTAAATGAAAGAGATAATGCTCCCTCTGGATTTCTAAATGAACAGTGAAGAGATAAGATTTCATCCCAGCCTCGTGATAACTGTCAGTCAACACAAGATAAAAAAAAAAGCAAAAGCAAGACGATGTGCAGCAAAATTAAATTATTTATCTGGAAGCAGAGCGACAGATAGTTTAGTTACGCTAAACGTAACAGACGGCAAACAGTTATTATATTAGTATCATAGTAGCCAAGAGAAAAAACTATAAAATATGTCACAAATATGCAACCAGACAGATGGTAATTTACTAGATCATTAATAGCAATGTTTCAGTCTGTTTCAGTTAACCTCACAAGAGTTTGGTTTATAAAAGAGATGAAAAAACATCAGAAACTTTAATCTGCTTTTTATTGATCTAGGATAAAAAATATGAATTACATTATTATGTTAAAAACACTAAAAGTTGGGGATATAAAATCTGTCTATAAAAGAGCACTTCGCTCTCAATCTGCAGGTTTACTAGTGGTTCCTAGAACTTCTAAAAGTAGA